TCTGGGCGAACATAAGTGTGGTAGATGTTTATATTAATGGAGACATTCAAGGATATTAGCTAGACAATTTAAATATAACCTACTATGGAAAAAGAGAAAAAAATGTAATATTTTTGGTGAGAATGATCTGATTGTGAATACAAATCTAACTACTTAAATGGTATTCACTTTAGCTGAGAGACAAAATGGGGATCACTCATATATTTAAATGTAATAATATTTATATAGTATCATAAAACTGGCTGAAATAATAGGAATTTTGTTTTAAATTTCATATTCCTGGTCAAGTGTTTTAGTTGAAAGATGACCATTTAAAACGACAAGTGCTGGCAAGGATGTGGAGAAAAAGGAACCCTCTTGCACTGCTGGTGGGAATGCAGACTGGTGCAGCCACTGTGGAAAAAAGTATGGAGTTTCCTCAAAAAATTAAAAATGGAATTTCCATTTGATCCAGTCATCCCACTTCTAGGAATATATCCCAAGATATCAGAAACACCAATCAGAAAAGATATATGCACCCCTATGTTCATAGCAGCACAATTTACAATAAATAAAATATATTAAAAAAAAAACTGTGGTACATCTACACAATGGAATACTATGCTGCAGTAAAAAAGAAGGAATTCTTACCATTTGCAACAGCATGGATGGAACTGGAGAGAATTATGCTAAGTGAAATAAGCCAGTTAGAGAAAGATAAATATCACATGATCTCACTCATTTATGAAATATAATGAACACATAAACTGATGAACAAAAACAGATCCAGAGACAGAGAAGCATTGATCAGACCATCAAACCTCAGAGGGAAGGTAGGGAGGGTGGGGGTAAGGGGGAGCGATCAACCAAAGGACTTATATGCAAGCATATAGGCCTAACCAATGGACACAGACAACAGGGAGTTGAGGGCATGAGTGGTGGAATGGAGTGTAATGTGGGGATAAGGACAGATATGTAATAATTTTTTGTCTCTATTGTATTTAGTTATTTTTTTGTAGTTTTGTTCTGTTCTTTCATTTGGGACATGTTTGTTTGTCTCCTCATTTTGGTTGCCTCTCTTTGGTTGTTTCTATGTATTAGGTAGAGCCTATTAGTCTCAACCTCCTCAGCCCCTTAGCTGGGCATTCCAGGTGCAGCTCTCCATGTCAGCTGTCTGTACCCTCCTATTGTAGTTGAGCCTTAATTGCCATTGGCATGTCAATGAGATGGATTTACTTCCAGGCTAATCATTTGCAAGCACTGGCCCCAACTGCATCAGAGGAGCTGGTGTGCAGGGCCCAACCCCAAGGAGCAGGACTCTCTTTAGCGAGACTCTGGTGTTTGCTGAGTTCACCCCTTGTGTGCACTGCTTCTGGAGGTGGTTGGGTGGTTCTCCAGAATGGTCTGAAACTGTCTACCAGGTGCGCTGGCTCTGGTGACTCCTGGGGATTTAGGCCAAGATCAGCTACCACCTGGCATGAGCTACAGAGTGAGCTGCAGATGGCTGCTACTTCTATTGTGCTTGGAGATGCCTGGAAGAGGCCAAGCTGTGGACAAAGGCCGGCTGCTGCTAGTGCTGGACTTAGCGCTGTTTAGCAAGTAGTACAGGGCACACCGAGGCCAGATGCTGCTTGTTTGGGTTTTGTGGACCTTTGAGAGATTTTAGGAGTGTCTGCAACATGAGCTAAGACAAGCCATTTTTATTGAAAAGCCACTGAATATGGCTTGGGGGACCTGCAGGTTGGATAGGGCGAGGTATCAAGGTGAACAGTGTTAGGTTGATGGAGACTCACTTACCTGCTGGTTCTGTTGGGGGAGAGCTAAACAAAGGAATCCTCGCTGGTTTTCACATCCTGAAGATATGGGACTTCTCTTCATGACACTGGAACTCTGGTCAGGGGGGCCTGGTGTGTGGATGGGACCCCTCCATTCTTAGGGAGGACCTCAGCAGCTCAGATATCCCTCCCTATTTGTTTTAAATTTAAGTTCTTTATTGTTTAATGTATTACATAAGTCTCCGTTTTCTCCCATTGACCTCTCCCCAGCCGCCCCAACCCCCAGCACATTCCCTCACACAACCCCCCATCTATGTCCATTGGTTATGCTCATATGCATACATACAAGTCTTTTGGTTGATCTCTTCCTCCCTATTTTTAAGTACCACATGTGGCTGTGGGATCTGCCTGTTACACAGCTCTCTGTCCCTCCTACCAGTCTCCATGTGGCTGTTTCTGTATATCTAGATTATGGGACTTCTGTTCAGCTAGATATCAAGTGATTCTGAATAATAGTGGTTCTGTAGTTTAATTGTAATTTTGATATGGTTGTGGAAGGATGCCAGTACTGCATCTACCTATACTGCCATCTTGACCAGAAGCCCAATATGATCTCTATAGATATTTTAATGTTAAGGAAATCATGAATCTGATTATCTTTTTTTTTTAATTGCAGACTGAATATCTTCTTATTCTCTGTTACAACTTTGGAGTAGAAACCCACATGCTGAATAAATACGAAGAAAGTTGTTACTGGCTTAGGTAATATAAACAAAAATAATGAATGTAAATTCAAGAATATTATAAAGTTCAGTTAAGTTTAAACATTGACTTCAAAAGCCAACATGCTACATTTATTTACTGCTTTAACATGTACTATTTATTATTCTTACATGCTGCCAATCATTGAAAAATGTATTCTATTCTTTTATCTTCTGTTAATCCTCACTTGAGGATATTTTTTCCATTGGTTTTTCAGAGAGAGTAGAAGGGAGGGGGAGAGACAGAGAGAGAGAAACATCGATGTGAGAGACACATCAACTGGTTGCCTCCTGCATGTGCTCTGACCAGCGCCAGAGATCAAGCCTGCAACTGAGGTATGATGGATGTGCCCTTGATTGGAATCAAACCTGAGACCCTTCAGTCTGTGGGCCAATGCTCTAACCACTGAGCAACCAGCCAGGGCTATTCTACTAGTATTCTTAATATAACATAAGAGTATGCTCGAAAAATGGCGACCAGCGGGAAGGTAGGGAGGGAGAGAGTGTGAGAGCGCAAGGAAGTGATAGAGTGTGTGGACGTGTGTGGTATGTGTGTGAGTGTGTGGACGTGTGTGGTATGTGTGTATGAGCTAGGGACAGTTAGATTCTGCAGGTCTTCTAAGGGGCTGCTAAACCGGGCAGTCTTAGGTGGCGGAGCCCCACTCCCTGCGCAGACACTCCTGGGCGGCCAGCACGGGCACAGTGACCATGCCATCTTGGGAAACAGAGCTGCTTGAGACTAGGATCCTGGCCTCAGCACCACCCAGTCTGATCTCAGACGCATTCCAGGACCCTGCAGCCACTGGGGACAGAGACCTATGACCACAGCTACAGACCTGTGGACACCAAAAGTTCAGAAATCCCCGCGGCAGATCCGTGAGTAACAGAGTCCATCCCCCCTTCCCGCAGGCTCGCGGGCAGCGCCATAGTAACTGATAGACCCATCCCTTGCCGGGGCCTCAGTGCTGCCACAGGAACTTTAGCCTGGAAGTGCGCGAGCACCTTGGAACTGATCGCGTGTAGGGCCGGGTTCAGGAGTCCTGGGCTGGGAGCAAACGCGTGAACACCTGGAACTGATCCTACGGGCACTGCAGGCTTCAGAGCCCTGGGCTGGGAGCAATCGCGGGAACACCGGGAACTGGTCCTGCTCACAATGCCTGCTCCAGGAGCCCTGGGCTGGGAGCAATCGCGTGAACACCGGGAATTTGTCCCACGTAGCACAGGCCCAGGGACCCCGATTCTCTGGGCAGGAGGCAGCACCAAGCACCAGTGACTTGACTGTGTTTCTTATCACCTGTGCCTGAGATCCTGATTCCCTGTGCATTCATACTAAGAGCCAGTGACTCCAATTCCAGGTGCAAGGGCACACAGGGACCCTGATTCTCAAGGCGAGGTCGCGCGAAGCAACAGAGACTCTGATACTGGATTCTTGGGGAACTCTGACTCTTGGCGCACGCTAGGGGGCACTGATTTTCAACACGCTTCAGGGGGGTCTCTGTTTCAGCACGGTGCAGGCAGGGTCCCTGATTCTAAGGGCGCGCACGAGGCAACATTGAGCGCTGGCAACACTGACTCTGAGCGAGCCTGGTTCTCACCAATCCACAACAACCACACATCTTAGTGTCAGAGCTCTTCAGTGACACTTAGGGTGGGTGGGAGGCTTCTCACTGCACACGGCTCAGTCCACGCAACTTCGATGTTTGAACCATCGGGAGATATCAGAATGAGAAGACGACACAACACCCAGAGAAAGACAATGAAGAACGCCACGAAAGGAAATTAATGAAGTTGAAGCATGCAACATGACAGAAAAAAATTCAGAATAATGGTTATACAATTCATTTACCGGATGGATGAGAAAATCAACAACCTATGCAAGAATCAGGAAGAAATGAAAAGTGATATAGCTACAATCAAAAACACCATGGAAAGTTTCAACAGCAGACTAGAAGAAGCAGAGGACTGAATTAGTGAGTTAGAAGATAAGGCAGAGAAACAAGCTCAATCTGAACAGCAACTGGAGAAAAAAATTAAAAAGCAGGAGGAGAGCCTAAGGGAGCTTTGGGACAACATGAAACAAAGTAACATACGCATAATAGGGCTGCCAGAAGGACAAGAAGAGCAGCAAGGATTAGAAAATCTATTTGAAGAAATAATGACAGAAAACTTCCCAGATATGGGGAAGAAAAAAGTTACACAAGTACAGAGAGTCCCAAGCAAGATGAACCCCAAAAGACCCACACCAAGATACGTCATAATAACGATGGCAAATGTACAAGACAAAGAGAGAATCTTAAAGGCTGCAAGAGAGAAACAGAGAGTTACCTACAAAGGATCCTACATCAGATTATCAAATGATTTCTCAACAGAAACACATCAGGCAAGAAAAGAATGGACAGAAATTTACAAAGTGATGCAAAGCAAAGGACTGAATCCAAGAATACTCTACCAGCAAGGCTATCATTCAAAATTGAAGGGGAAATAAGAAGCTTCACAGACAAAAAAAGGCTAAGGGAGTTTATCACCACCAAGCCAGCAATGCAAGAAATGCTAAAGGGACTGGTGTAAAAAGAAGAAACAAAAAGCTCAGAAAGAAAACAGCCATAAAAAATAGAAATGGCTACAAACAAGTACCTTTCAATAATAACTTTAAATGTAAATGGACTAAATGGTCCAATCAAAAGACATCGAGTGGCTGAATGGATAAAAAAACATGACCCATACATTTGCTGTCTACAAGAGACCCACCTCATTAGAAGGGACTCACACAGACTGAAAGTGAAGGGATGGAAAAATATCTTTCAGGCAAATGGAAATGAAAAAAAAGCTGGGGTAGCAATACTTATATCGGACAAAATAGACCTCAAAGTGAAGGCCATAACAAGAGATAAGAAAGGCCACTTCATAATACTAAAGGGATCGATACAACAAGAAGATATAACCCTGATAAACATATATGCACCCAATGCAGCAGCACCCAAATACATAAGAAAACTCCTGGAAGATATCAAGGGAGAGATCGACAACAATACAATCATAGTAGGGGACTTTAATACACCACTGACATCACTGGATAAATCCTCTAGACAAAAAATCGGCAAAGAAACAGCAAACCTAAATGACTCACTAGATCAGATGGACTTAATTGACATCTTCAGAACATTTCACCCCAAAGCCACAAAATATACGTTCTTCTCAAGTGCTCATGGGACATCTTCAAAAATAGACCACAGCCGAAACCGGTTTGGCTCAGTGGATAGAGCATTGGCCTACGGACTGAAAGGTCCCAGGTTCGATTCCGGTCAAGGGCATGTACCTTGGTTGCGGGCACATCCCCAGTAGGGGGTGTGCAGGAGGCAGCTGATCGATGTTTTTCTCTCATTGGTGTTTCTAACTCTCTATCTCTCTCCCTTCTTCTCTGTAAAAAATCAATAAAATATATTTTTTAAAAAAAGAACAAAAATAGACCACATATTGGGTCACAAACAAAGTCTCCCCAAATTCAAGAAGATTGAAATCATACCAAACATCTTCTCAGACCACAAGGGCATAATATTAGAAATAAACTACAATAAAAACAACTCAAAATACTCAAACACTTGGAAGCTGAATAGCATGTTATTAAATATTGATTGGGTTACCAATGAGATCAAAGAAGAAATGAAAAACATCCTGGAAACTAATGACAATGAAAACATAACAATCCAAAACCTTTGGGACACAATGAAAGCAGTCCTGACAGGGAAGTTTATAGCTCTACAGGCCTATCTCAACAAACAAGAAAAAATGGTAGTAAATCATCTAAATCTACATCTCAAAGAATTAGAAAGAGAGCAAGAAAACCCCAGAGTGAGCAGAAGGAAGGAGATAATAAAGATTAGAGCAGAAATAAATGACATAGAGACCAAAAAAACAATACAGAAAATCAATGAAACCAAGAGCTGGTTCTTTGAAAGGATAAACAAGATTGATGGATCTCTAGCCAGTCTCACCAAGAAGCAAAGAGAGAGGACCCAAATAAACAAAATCAGAAATGAAAGAGGCGAAATAACAACAGACCCCACAGAAATACAAATGATTGTTAAAAAATACTGTGGACAACTCTACTCCAACAAACTAGACAACCTGGAGGAAATGGACATATTCCTAGAAAAATACAACCTTCCAAAACTTAATCAGGAAGAATCTAAAAATCTCAACAGGCCAATAACTATGGAAGAAATTGAAGCAGTCACCAAAAAGCTTCCAGCAAACAAAAGCCCAGGACCAGATGGCTTCACAGGGGAGTTTAGCCAAACATTCAAGGAAGAACTAAAACCTATCCTCCTCAGACTACTACAAAAAATCCAAGAGGAAGGAACACTTCCAAGCTCATTTTATGAAGCCAGCATCACTCTAATACCAAAACCAGGTAAAGACAACACAATGAAAGAGAATTACAGGCCAATATCCCTCATGAACATAGATGCCAAAATCCTCAACAAAATCTTAGCAAATCGGATCCAGCAGTACATCAGAAAGATCATACACCATGACCAAGTAGGATTTATCCCAGGCATGCAAGGATGGTACAATATCCGCAAATCAATAAACGTGATACATCACATAAACAAATTGAAAGAAAAAAACCACATATTCATATCAATTGATGCAAAAAAAGCGTTTGACAAAATTCAACACCCATTTTTGATAAAAACTCTCAGCAAGGTGGGAATAGAAGGATCATACCTCAACATAATAAAAGCCATATATGACAAACCCACAGCCAACATCATACTCAATGGACAAAAACTAACACCATTTCCCCTAAGAACAGGAACAAGACAGGGATGCCCACTCTCACCACTCCTGTTTGACATAGTACTGGAAGTATTAGCCATTGCAATTAGACAAGAAGAAGAAATAAAAGGCATCCAAATTGAAAAAGAAGAAGTAAAACTGTCCTTATTTGCAGATGACATGATATTATACATAAAAAACCCTAAAGACTCCATCAAAATA